TGGTCATACTCTTTTTAATGCACCCCAGGACACCGTTGGCCTTCTTGGCCACAAGAGCACACTTCTGGCTCATGGTTAATTTGTTGTCCAGCAGGACTCGCAGGTCTTTCTCCTCAGTGCTGCTTTCCATGGGGTCATCCCCTAACCTGTACTGATGCATGGGGTTATCCTTCCCTGGGTGCAGGTCTCCACACTTGCTTGTGTTAAACTTCATTATGTTCCCCTCCACCCAACTCTCCAGTCTGTCCAGATCTCACTGAATGGCAGCAGTGCTTTCTGGTGTATCAGCCACTCCTCCCACTTTTCTATCATCAGCAAACTCATTGAGGCTACTCTCTGTCCCTTCAGCTGGGTCAATGGATATGTTGAACAAGACTGGACCCAGTCCTGACCCCTGGGGAACACTGCTAGTTGCGGGCCTCCAACTAGACTCTGTGCTGCTGATCACAACCCTCTGAGCTCTGTTGTTCATCCAGTTCTCAATCCACCTCACTGTCCACTCATCTAACCCACACTTCCTAAACTTACCTATGAGAATGTTACGTGAAACGGTGTCAAAAGCCTTACTGATGTTGAGCTAGACAACTTCCACTACTCTCCCTTCACCTACACAGCTCATCATACTATCATAGAAGACTATCGCATTGGTCAGGTATGATTTCCCCTTGATGAATCCATGCTGACTCCTCCTGATAACCTTCTTTTCCTCCCCATAGTCCCTAATTCTTACATTCCAGTGAGAGATCCCAACTTCTGTTTGTTTCTGCACTGGACCTCGTGGAACATGCCCCATTTTACATCTGATTTGGTTTTGCAGCATTTACATTGTGCCTAGGTACATCCCTTAGCCTTGTTCTGCAGATTTCTAGAAAATGCTTCTCTTTTATATTATTTATAGCTATGGTGTTTAAGTACCACAAATGAGGTCACCACAGACAGAGCCAAAGATTTTCAGCTTCTCTGTGTTAACTTTTCCTTAGTTTGTTTCTTTCTTACTCATTCTCATGCTTGCTTCAAGAACATGCTTGCATTTTTTACCTTTCCCTTCTCACTTCCTTTCCATTTCTATGACAATGTCACAGTAGGGAAGGTTGCTCCATAAGGAGAGGACCTTATTGAACTAGTATGCCCTAAACATCAGTCTAGGATTGTGTCTGGGCTCTTCTTAACCACAAGTCCTTTGGTTGACTTCCTTTCCTACTCCCTGAAGCAGAGAGCATCACCTCAGCTTTTATGAGCCATAGTTTAGAACTGTTTTGGCAGAGAAATAATCTTTTACACAATGTAATCCAGTGATCCCAGTGACCTGCATATTAGGAGAAAGAATTGAGGGAGGAGCTTATAGATGTATAGGGCTACTTCTTTTCACTGGAGAGAGCTGCCAGTGTGTTGTGCCTGTCTCTGTGGCAGTTATTGCCTATCCCAAGCATCATGCCTCATAGGTGTCAGTCATCGAGATGACCAAAAACTGAGTTACAGTGTAAAAAAATGAAGAATCACAAAATTCTAGAAGGTGCTTCTTGCTTTTAATGTGAGGATCAGGCAGTAATTCAGCATGGCTGGGCAGACTTACATGTTTTGCTGTATTTGTGGTACAGCAAAGTGAGTCACGGACAACATGCTTCTCAACCTAGTGAGCTTCCCAGCCTTATCCCTGGTGTCTTCCTGGTGCCTCCCTGTTCTTAGTGATGCTGCTAAACCCTATAGCTTGAGCTCAGCAGAGCCTGTGCTGCTGCATGTCATGGAGCCCCAGGCTGCAAACCGTCTTCCTCTGCAACCAGTGCTGTCTGGCTCTGCAGTTTCAGATATCCTTGATAGCAGTGATTTTGCCTCATGATCTCCACTTGTGAAAGCCCTAGGTGAAGCAAAGAGTATTCCCCATGACTCCTTGTCATTTCTTGGAGATCAGTGGTAGGAGACAGGCTATAGACAAAGTCAGTCTGCAAAGAGAGAGTAGCTTATCTTTGTCTGAAAAAGAGCCAAGAACAATATATCAATGTCCATACATGTTTAACTCTAAGGACTGACTCAGGATTTGTCTCGCTGAGGTGTAATTCTTGAAGTTGAGATATGGAAGTTGTTTGTCTTCAATAAAAGTAGCTGCTATCAGAAGGTGATTGGTAGCCCTGTTGTTTTGCCTGTATTTTTGCTGCATGTAGAACAGTTAATGAAATGTTTTGCTGAACTCTCCTGTCATGTTGTTATGTTACCATGACACACGTGGAAATAAAAGCCCTGTTGTCAGGGTGATGTAGCCAAATTATTACCGCCCTGTTTTTCCAGTATTCAGTTTAAAAAGATGCAAGTTTTTAAAATGTTTTAACTAAAAATTTTAATGTAGTTTTAGGTAATGAAGAAAACGATAGCCAAGTGGTCATATGCAAATTCATGTAAACAAGGTAGTATGAATTGAATAGATAGCACTGAAAAGAGATTTGTTTAGATTTGTCAGGTACTGGTAGGGACAATGGTGAGAAAGGAGGAGAGGGTTTTGTAATGAAGAGAATTAGTTTGATGTTTTGCTTGAAATAGCTGCAAGCAGAAACCATAGATAATAATAATGTTCAAACTGTAGAGGCTGAAAGCTCTAAGAAGCCAAGAATGACTGCAGTTGCCTTGAGTGATGGTGGAACAAAGCCATATAGTTGTGAATAGTTTATGCAGATGAAATATAATCACAGAGTCAAAATGTGCAGTCGTCAGGTTTGAGATCCAAGAAGCAGGTGGTACACATGTCTGTCTCAGGGTTTTGGAGGGGTTCCCTGGCATCAACCATCTCGAAGAATCATAGACTAAGGAAACAGAGTTGATATCTACAATTAGATAACACAAGGGGACCGTCACTTCAAACACAAAATTATTCCTTGTCTGCGGTCTTCTCCAGACATTCATTGAGGCAGATTGTTCATGTTTTAAAATAATGCCTCAGAACTCAATGCCATTTTTTTTTTCTGGAAGTGCTAAATTGAAGATAATGACAGAGAGGAAATGATTTCGAAGTCTTGCAACTGGCAACCATTGCTAGAGGATCCATGAGCTTTTCAAATCCATTTTTGTGTATTTTAAATTGTTGCTTGTCAAGAACTGGGCAACCAAATGTATAGAGAATGTGGCCAAAGTAGCCCACTGCTCCTGAATTTGTTATGATCTGATCATAACATCTGCAAAACTCTTTACTGTTTATTAAAAAAAACAAAAACAAAAACAAAAACACTACATTAAACATTTCACCAGTAGTGTTTTGCTTCAGTGTTCCCAGGAGAGAATGACCATTTAATAATCAACATTTTTATAGCCCTTCATTTCAGTGGTCACTTAGTGACATTATAGTGTGATGAGGTTTCTTAACTTCTGTTAATCTTACGTGCTGAAGAAATGACTACAGTTCTACTGCCTGAGATTTGAGAGAAAGGAACATTTTATGGAAGAAGAAATTGAAACAATATTGAATAAATAATCTTGTGACTTTTGAGACATTTGAATATTTTCCTGTAGCAAATTTAAAACCTTAAAATATCATATATTGTGTACCATTAAAGTACCAAATAAATACCAGACATAAATTGAGTCTGGAACTGAAAGTGTCTCTGTTCTTTCTTGACTAAAGGAAAATTTTATTGAAGAATTAGCAGATTATGTGATCAATTTTCTCTTTTCCGTTCCTAACAAATAATTGAATACATGCATATATACATGGTCCAATGCAGCAATGAGCCTAGAGAGCATTAGCTGAGCTGCTACCCTTCCATTTTTCCTTTCAGTGGGCAGCTTAAAAAAATGCATAGCATATACTGAGTCAGTGTAAAATGGTGAGCCCAAGTATTGATCCATCATCTTTAAATCCTTTCATTATAAATTTTGTTATTAGAAAAAATCTTGGTATGCTGTCACTTCATTCCTTTTCCCTTACCTGCCTATTCATGCTGATCATTAGCTATTCACTGCATGTGTGTATCTAATAAGCATTCTGTAATTATGCCTTTTTTTTTCCATTTTTCATGGTTTCATTATTCCAGTTGGAAGTGAGTAAAACTGCCAAAAGATTAAAGGAATAGCTTCTTCATTATTTAAGTAATGATTGCACATCACTGGTCAGACAAATGGACTGGGGTTTAGCTGACCACATATCACTTCCTATATTTTTGACATCTGTATCTAAGGTAATCCTCCCAGGCTCTCTTTATAGACAATGGAGAGGAAAAAAAAGCATTTTTAGGATGCAGTGACATCCCAAATTAATATTTTAAAATAGATCAGATGATTTTCACCCTAGTAATGCTAGTTTTAGTTGATTGTAAATGGAAACAAGAGCAACTAGCTTAGTCTTTTGCGGTATAGATGTCCAAAGGATGGATCCCATCTCTCCTGCTGAAGTGAAACCATAAAAGCCCAGAGGTTTGGTGTGATGGCACTTCTTAACATGAATGCACTGTGGCAATATTTTTTGAAGTAAAGAACATAATGCCATTCAATGTTCTGCACAGATGAGAAAGTCCTGTTCACCACAAGCACCAAAAACAGTACAGTCATGTTAGGACTACAGCTCAAAAGGATTAGATCACCCTGCTTTCACCTTGGCTAAGTAGTAGCAGGATATTAGCATGTCTGCGTTCGTTCCAGAGCAGATCAGTTGGGGGAACAGCATTAATACTTATTGGAGACATACAGAGGTGGTGTTTAGTGATTATGTTGAAAGATAAATGTAATAGCCTTGGCCAGATTAGGTCCTGCTATGCAAAAAGGTATATATCATATTACAAAGAAGAAAAATACCTATTCTTGCCCCAGCAAGCTCACAATGAGCTAGTTTATAAACAATGAAAAGAGAGGAATCTGAATGGAAGTAGCATTATTTGGGAATGACACATGGCAAGGGCCTCTTGCATTAAAGAGGGTTGAAAAAGGTGGCAGATGTTAAATGCTTAAACATTTTTTAGGTTCTGCAGTTAATTAAGGACATTGCCTTAATGGTGATTTTTCCTGTGGGTTTTTCCCCTTAGGATGATTTCCAGCATGCAGCCTCAGAAACCAACTGGGAGTCAGTCACAAGCTCTGTCTCAGTAAGTAATTTGTTGATACTTTGCCCATGGATGGATTGATAGACTGGCTTCAATCCAACTCACTATAATAGCACCTGCCGAGAGGTGCCATGTTTTTGCCTTTGGCAGAGGATGAAATAAGTGTTTATCCAGCTCACACTGGAGTCAACTAGTATGGTTTTTAGGGAGAAAAGATTCAGAGTATGCCATCAGCTGTTGTAATCAGATGAGTTAGCCATTGGGCAATGTTTCTTGCTTTCAAATACATCCTGCCAAGAGGAAAATACTATATAAACTCCCTGCAATTTTGATTGTAAAATGTCTTGACCTTTAGAAAACTATACTTAAAATTAAACTTCTTGACCTATAGAAAACTATACTTAAAATAGGCTGGCAGGAAAATGGATCTAGCTTTTCATTTCCAAGATTTAGATTTTCTTTAAGTGTTTGTATTAAAAAATTCTATATGAAGCCTCCATATTCAGAAATGAAATGTGACTTGGAGGAAAAAAAAAAAGGAAAACATTGTCTCTTTTTTTTATTTTTTGTATTTTATTTTTCTCTTCATGACATGTGATTTATGTCATTGGCCAAAAATCTGTCACCTTTTTCATTTCCCAAGTAAAGTTAAATGCTGGGGAATGGCAGTGTAGCATCAGATTTCATAAAATGGGTAGTCCTCTTCTGTGTGCTCTGCTGGCTGGTCAGCACATGTCACAGCTCTTTTAAACTCATCTTAAAACACATGTGATGAGGGTAAGTGCTCAAAGCAGACTTAATAGAATCACAGAATGGCTGAGGTTGGAAGGGACCCTAGAGATCATCTAATCCAAACTCCCTGCCATGGGCAGGGATTCCTCTCAAGTAGACTTGAGACCAATGTTTGGAGTATTCATGGAAGGGAGTTTAATTATGGTACCTTTGGTACAGTGGTAGCCAAGAGTTGCCAGTGGAGAAGCAGTAAATAAAATACGAAAAAATTCCACTGAATAGCATCCAAGCCAGGCAGCGAGTAGAGGGAAAGTTCTATACTGACAAAATTAGAAGACATTAAGCCAGTCTCTCTCATGTTTACCCTTGAGTTTGCAAATGACACTTGTCCTTCATGATAAGATGCATTGTTAGCCTTGAACTAAGTGAAGGTCCTGAGTAGTAATGTTAGCAGGGGTGAGATCTACTGCTTGTGCCAAACAGGAGATGTTGAAACACTTTTACTGAAGACTGTAAACTCATTGTTCATTCTAATACAGGGTTGGAAAAAAAATTTTGTGTGCTAGAATATTTTGTTTCAAAATATGGTAGACTGATGTTTGAAAATGTAAGCCTAGGGCTCCCTCATCAGGTAACTACAAAAATGAGATCAAGTATATGGTAAACACTGTGCTAGGTATCCTCCTTAACATCATAAGGTGCACAGTATGCCAAACAATAAACCACTATTCTATACATATTGAAAAAGAAAAAAAAATAGTTTATTTATCTTTCACATCTACTTGTTTCCGAAAAGTTGTTGTTAATAGGTAGGGAAGTTCAGTACAAATATTACAGGTAGCAAGCTGATGCCCAAGGTCACATGGAACCCTATAGCTAAACCAGAAGCAGAACCTGAGCTTTGCCATGCCATTCCCTATCTAATAAAACATACCTTCTCCCACTGGGCATGCGTTGCACCCACTAGCCCTTTCTTATCCTCAGGAAAAATAAGGCAGAGATGTTGAGTAATTTTTCCCAAAGGTGCCAAGGCAAAAGTCTGAAGACATCCCAGTTCTTCAGGATAGAAAGGTACAGGGATTCTGCTGTGGTCCTGAGAGACAGAAGGACAAGCTCAAACCTGTCAGTTGCCAACAAGGTAACACACTATTCTGTTGATACCCAGTGAGCTTGGCAGGTCTAAGTTTTGCCCCTCAAACCTACAGGCAACCTAAAGACTCATTTTAGGATCTGACTAAATTACAACTCTCTGAATGAGAGTCTGATGTCATAACACAGAATTGAATTGTAGGTTTCTTCTAAAAGAGTTAAAACTAGTACTTCTGCCCTTAACCCACCATGGCAAATCCAGAAAAAAAAAAAAAATCCATCCTTATTATTTTAGTTCCCATTATTTGTGATGTAAGGTGATGACCAACAACTGCGATGCACATTGAACTGCCTGTCAGCTTCATAGTACAGATAAAAGATAGAAAAGAATCAGGGAACAGAAATTAAGTGTAAGAGCACTGATGCAAAAGGATACCTTTATGTCCCATGAAATTAAAAGTGTGTTCAGTGCTTTAAGAAACAGCAGAGATACATAATATGGAAAATCTTTGCTCTTCCTTGCTTCCTGCATTTCACTCTTCCTCTTGCCCTCTCTTTGGATATGATCTCAAAAGATTACAATGAGCACAAGCTCTTCTAAATCCAGAGCCTCATTCTTGGCCAGACAAAAGAGGCAGTTGGGTTGGCAGCTTTGAAGTTGCTTTTGGGCCTGTCACATGGTGTCACTGCCAGTAGGTTATCTGAGCTGTTGAAGTAATTCCTCTTGAGCTGGCTGTCACTGTGTGTGAAGGAAGTTGCACCAATCTCTTGAGTGGGGGATCCCTGCTGCCTGCGTGAGCTGGAAATGCCCTGCAAATGCCCAGCCTGACCTGCAGTTCTGTAGTGAAACGCACGCTTGAACACGTGAAAAACACTCTTGCATCATCTAAGCCACGCACCTTTGGTCTGATTTTTATGCTGCTGTCTCTTTAGCACCTTTGCACCATCTCCCTCACTTTTGAAAGGCAGGTGGGTACTGGCGTGTCCCAGCTGGGCAGCAGTCACCGTGAGCCATGAGCTCCTCTCAGCCCTCCTCAGTTAGCAGGTAGCATTCGGGTACATTTTTCAATGGCAAGCTCAAAGACGGCATTAGCACGCTGTGTGATCCACACACACAGCACAGTCTTTCTGAGAAAAAGTCTCTCCTCTTGTTTGAGATAACAACACTGCTCACTTTGCTGTCATGAGCTTTTCAACTCCTGGGCCTCCCATCTCTCCGACGGTCTCTATTCCAAGCCACTTAGAAGTCAGGAGAGATGCTTTCAGGTATGGCTTCCCTTTTATTGGGTCATGAATTTTTACAGCCATCTGCACTGTGTCTTATTCAGCAGTGCATTGTGGAGGCGTCGCAGCCACAAGTGGCCTTTCTGAAACTTCTTGTGCTGTTGGCGACAAGCAGTGAAGCGCAGCTATACTTTCTTCATGGCACTATTGTCATGTTTTCTGTTTTTTCTCTTTCTCATTTTTAGTAATTTGAACTGTCTGTGCTTTCAGCAAATGTATGCAGTGAAACTTCACTGATTATTACTTTTGCGATGTAACTTACCATAAAGGACAAGCACTTTATTTACAAGATGGGTATACATTAAAACAGGTTTAGTAAACTTTGAAGGACACAATCCTGCAAACAAGTGAGTAACTTTACTCAGATGAGTTGACCTTTCCATTACTACCCAACTGAGTGAAGTTAATCACAGAGATTAATAGTTTAACATATGTAGTTCCTTGGGAGATGAGGCAAAAAAAAAAAATATTTTGGGGAGCCATTAATTTTAAATTACATATTTCTGCTCTATTACTTCAGAGATGGATTTTCATGAGAGAAGAGGGTTTGTAGGGGTTTTCCACCAGTGTTTTAACTTAAAAGACCAAAATCCAAACAACTCCTGTGCTATATCATGCTTCTTGTTAGACAAAATCAGGTATTTTGATTCTTGTCCTTCAGAAAGTAACAGATCTGCATTAATACCTTTTCTTGCACATATTTTACACATCCTATTAGGCTTTGTGCTTGGGCAAAGGAAGAAGTTATATTAGGGTGGTGAATATTGTGATTCTAAATAATGATTCTTAAAAATGTTTCAAGTCCTCTCCAGTAAAAATGAAATTGCTGCAATCTTTCTGTCAAAGTCAGGTTGTGCCAGAAGTTCAGTGGGAACCGTATACATTCAGAGAACCATACCTGGCCCTTCCTGGTGATAAATAATATTCCATTTGGTTTTATGATATAATTGTAAGGCTAGTGCTATGCTCATAAGGCAAATGTTCATTGTTAAATTGCTGAGATCCAAATATAATGGTTTTTCTCTCATTTGCTTAGTTATATGTATTTTTGGTAAAAGGGTGGGAATATTGGTATTCAGTAGTGTCTCATAATACATTTACTTCTTAGGAATAAAGGGCCATCTTTTCAAGCCTTTGACCAAGTCACATTTTTTTGTCCAAATTGACCGGGGAAGAAAAGACAGACTAGACAAAATTGTCTTTGTCTTTCTCTGATGTGGTTTCTGATCTGGCTATTTTGGATTTACCAAAGGACTATGAAGGCACCAGTCCAGCATTACAAGGCACCTCTGTTCTGTGGCCATGGCCATCACAGTGGTTCCAAAAGACATATACATGTGTGCAAACCATCGTCCCCTTTGAGGAGTGGATGTGCACGTTGACAGTCCAGCAGTGGCAATGCTTCCACTCTCTGCGTCTCCTCTGGGATTTGCTTGGGAGTTCCTTGGTGTCTCTTCTCTCTAAAAGAAAACAGATGTAACAAAACCTAGCCTTTAGCTAAGGACTTCAAAAGATGGCCCAAAGTAGCTGTTTCAGACAATAAGAAGACAAATTCTCAGTAACTGTTTGAACTGCTTTACGTGGTGCTGTAATTTTTTCCAAGAACACTGAGATGTATGTCACTCTTAGGGGGTATCCTATCCCTCTCCATCAGTGACTGACTCTACGCTCACGGCAGAAGCACTGGATCAGGCCATTGCTGCGTTTGACACGGTGGAGGATCTGCTCAAACACTTTAACCCAGAGTCCTGGCAAGAAGATCTCGAGAATTTGTACACAGACAGTGGCCACCATTACCGAGGCAGGAGTTACCATGACAGGAAGTCCAAAGGTAGGAAAAGACACTATATACATACTTTGGGGCAAGACTAGGATATTCGTTCACGCCTTATAAAAATGTCTGTTGGTCAAGTATTAGATTCTGGTGCCTGTGTTCCTGTTGGAGTCACTGACCAAAGTAGCACCTGTTAAACCTGCGGATGAGTCATTTAATCCTTAATTGTTTTCTGACTGAGTAGGATCTTGCCTGAGAAATCAGACTGAAAACTGCCCGTTGTTATGATGAATTCACAGATAAAAACATGGGCCTGTGTATAAAGGACAGATGGTTCCCAGTTTCACCCTCTTGAACGTTGCTCTGTGTAAGGCAAGGGGCTTCTAATTACCTGCGCTATCATCCTCCTTTAAATACCCTGCTTAGAGATTGTTCTCTGCTGAGTGAGGAATAATCACTTTTATCACATTCTGCTTAGGGAAGCATCTGGTGCAGACACCTGTATGTGCAGCTGTTTTTTTAGGATGTGAACATCTCACTGTTCTTCATTACGTTGGAGAGGAACTTTATTATGGTTTAACATCTTTGTAATTGAGCAAAGCACACATCTGGATTATGTTTCTTGTTTCATTCTGTTAGTTCAAATCATCCACAAAGTGGTAGAGCAATACAAACCCATAATGACTAAGAAACACTGTTTAGAAGACAGTTGTGCTCTGGGGTAACTATGCACTGAAAGGCCTGATGAAATTGCCCTTTCTGTACAAGTACAGATCTAGGAGGTTTGTTAGGGTTCCCCAAGATTACAATTGCTGTAGTTTTCACAGAATATCTAGAATGAAATATTTTATTCTGGTTCTCATGTTAATACTGTCTTCCATTTCCAAGTTATGTATTCATAGTCATTCTTCTTTATAACTTTAAAATAATAATGCCCAAATCACAGTTCTGATTCTGTGCAATCTACTATTTATTTGGATCTCACATGTCATCCTCCCTACATTAAGTGTATGCTAAGCAGGGAGAGAGGTTTTTAATTCCATGTTTGTAATGTACTTGCTATCACATGATGAAGTTTTGATCTTAAAAGGGTTATATAAGGTGTATCTGTATTAAGGAAAATAGTGTCAAGGAGTGTTCCTAGGCCCTGAAATACAGTCACCATGTTGCTAAACTGTCAGCCTGGTCTTTGCTTAGTTTTGGCCTAGAGCAAGTGTCATTCTCCCAGGTCATTGCTAGGCATGAACCAGGCAGAGGCCAGCTGCCAGTCCTGGTGGGTAGTTTGCTTGTGGACACCTTGTCTTGGAAAGTAAGGGATAAAAGGCAGGGATGTGGGCTGTCCCATGGCTGTTGAGCTTTGTGCAGTACAGTGACCTATACAGTGTATGAGGACATGCTGTCCCGATCCGATGTCGGGGGAGGTTGCGATATGATCCCAAGAGCGAGGTCAAGACGCAAATGATATCAAATGCCACATACCAAACACAGTTTTTATTACAAAAAGAGAAAAATGTTAGAAAAGAGTAGTAATAGGACAGAGTGAAAATAAAAGGCAGAAATCAAGCAAGCGGTCGGTAGATAGTCGCCAGAGCAGTTACCACCACGGGCCCACAGCGCACCGTCAGGCTGGAGTTGTCTCAGCTTTGGGGGTGGGCAGTGGAGCGAGGCCGTGGTGAGCAGGTGAGGAAAAAAGAGAGCCCCGGGCAGCGTCTGCAATGGTTTAGATAGAGTCCAGGCTGGGTTCTGACGTCACGGGTCCTCTCCAGGCTGGCATGGGCTCCTTTAGGTGCACGCGGGTGCCACGCGAGTGTCTCCTGCTCGAAGTGTGCCTGCACGACTCCCGGCGGAGGGGCTGCCGGGCCTGGGCACGGGGCCTGTCCCATGTGGGCGCCCACACTGCACCTCCCTGGCTGGGAGGGGGGGGACAGGCCAGTGGTGTCCCCAGGGCTTTTGGGATGGCCCCTGATTCGCACACATGCTTGGCTCCTGACAACGTGGTCCGTGCCCAGACAGGCCCTGCCCAGCTCACACAGCAATTCCACACATGCAGTCCTCCATCCAAGGCTGTCTTTGAGGCAGACACTCCATGGTTAGTCCTTCACAGATGCACAGCCAACTTGGTGTAGTTTCCAAGAGACATTGGGCATCTCTGGTTTTGGGCTCAGCTCACTGCAAAGGAATCTGCAATAAAGCCCTGAACTCCCTATCTAGTGAAAACTAAAGCCCTTTAATCTGTTCCTTTTTGGTATGTCAGAGATTTCAGGCAACCACAGTGTTTGGTGAAAAATGTCACCTAACTGCCACTGCATCACTTATGAGATCAGTTTGATCTCATTTAAAGGTCCCTGAAACATACTCTCTGTGTCCTCATTTTTGCAAGATCTGGTACCAATAGATTTGTGTACAAAAGAAATAAAGAGTCCTGATATTAATAGAAGCTGTTTAGAAACCTGGATCCTCTACTGGTTCTACTCTACACATTTCATTTTATTCTCAGAGCATATTTAGCCTAATACCTCATATATTTTAATGGCCCCATGTATATAAAATAGCATTTTCTGCCTTGCTGATGCTGATCATGTTAGCTGGAGGTATCAATCTGATATAGTAGTCCTCAGAATATTCAGATGCATAAAGGTTTCTCTGTTTAGTACAAATGTAATTCAGCTTCTTGTGGAACAAAACACTATAAAAAAACAATGAAGAATTTTCCAGTTATTATTTTAACACTTTATTTATTTTAATGTTTGTTATTGTTTTTGTTTTTGTTACAGGAATAAGAAAAAAAAGGTTTATAACTGTTTTTCTTTCATCTTTTAACTAATGGACAAATGCCCTAATTGTTAGTAGCCTTGTGGTCAAAAGTACCTCACCACAATCAAAACCTTAAAAAATTTCGGTTAAGGATTTTTACTTAGTCATGAACTTCTGACAAAATTAAGGGCTTGTTCTTGGATGATGCCAGGAGTAGGGAATAACTTTGACAAGTCCTTAAATGAGAAATGTGTGGTGTCTTTTAAACACAGACACTGTGGATCTCTGAGGGATGTGTATGGGCACTGGGATAACCTTGCAGCAAAGAGGACAATAGATTATATCATCGTTTATTTCAGATATTTATCTGTTTCTGCTTCCAGCTTGGGTTTTATTTTTTGTCCTTAGTTATAAAAGCCCTGAGGCACATAAGAGCAATTTAATGTAATCTCTGCCTATCTTTCACAACATTCTCAGAACTTGTCATATAAATGGTATAAATGAATCACTAATGATTTTGTTCTTATCCAACTCTCTGCCTATGCCAAACTGTGCCACAAAGTTGAGATTAAGAGGCAGTGTTGATGAATAGCAATTCTGATAACAGGGATATGTGATAAATGATATTTAAATTATATGCTTTCTTAATTTGACAATCAGTAATCTACAAAGATCAGGATCTGGGGCAAAGAAATAAGAACTATAATATTTTAGCCTAATTGGAACTCAGAGAATCACAGAATAGATAAAGTGGAAAGGCATCTCAAGATTTTGTCTAGCCCAACCCCCTTGTTGAAGGTAGGGTCACCAGCAGCAGGTTTCTCAGGACCATGTCCTGTCAGGTTTGAATATCTCTAAGGATGGAAACTACACAACCTCTCTGGACAACCTGTGTCTGACCACCCTTCGAACAAACAAGTTGGGGGTTTTTAACATTTAAATAGGGTTTTCCTATGTTGCAGTTTAAGTCCAGCACCTCTTGTCCTTCCAAGGAAGACTCTGGCTCCATCTTCTTTACTCTTTTCCATCGTGTATTTATACACGTCAATATACACATATGCAGACTGATCCCACCCTGGATACCTCCTGCGACTACTGTAAAGATGAAGAGTGTGCTCATTAAATCTGTGTGTATGATAACTCCATTCCATCTACAAAATCTGACCTCACACCTCTACAACACTAATGGAAATCTCTTGACTTAAATACATTTCTTTCTATTTGTACTGTTGAAGTGAGATATTAGTATCAGGTGTGTCTCACTAAGAACATGAAGTCTGAAATACAATTCTACATCTGTTCAGTGAGTTTTGCTGTTAACCACTCCAGTAAATTTCACTATAGAATCACAGTGAAACTCAGACCGACAGAAAAGGACAGAAAAGAAAGGGAAAGATGCACATTCTCATTTTCAAAATCCTAAGATGAGAGGCCTTGTATAAGCTATAAAATACAGTGTACACCCCCCACATGAAAATATGACAGGTATATGTTTCAAATATCCTTTGCAGCAGTTATAAATGTACTCCAAAAGCTTTGCTAGCCATCGCTGCATTTTAAAACCTCTGAAAGAAGGAATATTCAACCTTAAGCTCATCTTAGACTGTTCTAAAAAAGCAGGTCATACCAAACACAGTATGTACTTTTAAAATAATTCCTTTTGTATTGCTGTAATATGTTGTAAGTGACCTCAGTGTCACAGTAATTTGTCTATTACAACTATAAAGCATCTCTAAAAGGATATGATTGGCTATTGGTTTATTTAATACTGTTCTTAGCAAGAATATGGGTAGATATAAAAAAGAAAACAACCATACCCTACGATTGTGTTGAACTTCTAGACAAATAGATTTTTATTCTTTTAGAGAGTCATAAAGAGCATTCAGATGTGTTTGAAGGTAAACCTCTTAATCCTGTGGTTTAAATTTTTGAGAGTATCGATGCATCTGCTTGATAATATTAGAAGAGCTCCTCAGAGATAAATATCTCCACCCATCTATTAAACGTTATTTAACTTTTCCCACATGCTTGTTTGCATTTATCTTTTGTTTTTCACTCTGAAATTTTACATCCCATTGATAAAGGCTTTATAATTTAAAAAAGACCTCTCCCTGTGAAATGTCTTCTCTACAAATGAAGAAAGAAAGGAAAAAGTCCTCTGTTTCTCGTCATAGAAGCAGAACCAAATGCCTAGGAGATGTAACCTAGAGTAAGGGGTTATTTTAAAAGAAATAGGGATTTTGTTGCGTGGTTTTGTTTTGGTTTGTTTTTACAAGTAAACCTAGGAAGCAGGAACACATGTA